CTCCTCCTCCTCCTCCTCCTCCTCCTCCTCCTCCTCATCCTCCCCCTCCTCCTCCACTCCCTACCCTGGGAGGTGGGGGGGGGCTTTGGGAGGGGCGGCGTTTTGTTATCCCTCCCTTCTGATGTTTGTTGGCCAGGGGGAGCGCGGCATCTGCCCTCCTGTAAAAACGTGTTGCAAGCCAGCGGCGGTGGATCGCGCTCCCTCTGGTCTGGAGGACAGGGTTGGGAGTGCTGCGCACGCGCTGTGCAAAATGCGACGTATCCCGCGCGTCCACAGGCAACCCCACAAGGCCGATCTGGTGGCCACAGCACTCGACGCACTGCTCAGTCTTGAGCTTGCGCGCGCGCTTCACTCGGTGTCTGCGTTTGGCGGCCAACAAACTGGGCCCGCAACTTGATCCGACCTCGACCAATGTCAGACATAGCGCAGTGGACCCTGGCCTTGCGGAGGGGTAGACCTCCCTCGAACAAGCCGCCGAACTCTCTCAAGAGCCTCCAAAGATTCACCTGCATGTCCGCGCTGACGAGTGGCGACCAATATCTTCCTCGTCACGCTCCGTCACTCCCAGAGAAACGGGATCTGAATCAGTCGCTGCTGCCATGGGCGGATAGCATTCTGAAGCACGAAGATCCGAGCCTCCAACTCGGCCCCATCGATGTCCATGACGTCGCGAGAACAGCCGTAGAACGCAGTCTGTCCAACACCGAGCGCCTCCTTGGCACGCGAAGCGACGACCGACGAATATTCCCACTGATATTCAAAAGGCAATCCGCCCAGGAAAAACCCAAAATGATATATATATATATATATATAGAATAAAAAAGATGCCGATGCCAGACCACCTGGTCCTGACAGGGGTGGCATCAATCGGATTCCGGGAACAGCTAAAGGCCCGCTCCAAAAGAAGTGGTACCAAGGGACGGCCCTGGGCCTGAGCAAGGGCATCAAAGTCGTCAGGAAACAGGACCTCCTCCCGCGCACCAGTGCCTGATTGGCCATGCCACGTGCGGGCACTGCTGGGCGCTAAAAAATTAGCTTCCAGCCTCCTGACCATAGGCCAGTGGCCGCCTATGACACACGAGCGCAGGTACCCCTTGGCTTCGGCCCCAAGGGCGCTCAGGCCACAGTTCGAATCCCGGCGAGGGCGCCCCCTGGAGACCAGACCAGCCAGAGGGCCCCAGACCGCCCCAGACTCAAGGTGCCACAGAGCCCCTCCTGCTCCGAAATCTGCCCCCACTGCCGCGCTTGCACAGCTCGCACGAGATGCTTCTGGGCAACCCACGGGCAGAGACCCACGTGAACCCCCCACAATGACTCGGGAGCGGCCAAGAGGGGGGTGTCCCAGAGGGGGGGGTGCAGATCATGACCGGCGGCATGTGCGCGGCCCAGCGGGGGGGCCAGGGACGTCAAGAGAAGGCGCCATGAAGTCTGGGGAAATAGCATGGCCCCCGCCATGATATCCCCCCCTCCCTAGTCATCACCCCCCCCTTCGCCGCCCCCGAATGACCCGCCCAAAACTGGGCCAGCGCGCCTCTGCAAGCAGCGACGGGGCTAACTACTGGGGAGCCCGCGGCGCGGCGGGCGCCGCTCCCTCCGTCCCGCCGCGAGCCGTGTAAAACAACATCCCCCCTCCCATATATAGCTGCGCTCTGCAAAGAGCGAGCACAATAGGGGGCCACATGCGAACCCTACCCCTACCCCCCACAATCTCTGAGGGGTAGGGGTAGGGTTCGCATGTGGCCCCCTACACAAGCATGCACGCGGCGCGAAACATTGGGCCAGCATCTATCTCGCGCATCCCTGACCGGGCCCGCGTCTTGCCAGACGTCGAGCCGACAAGCGCAACAGCTGTACATTGCTTCGGCCAGCGTCATGGCCGGTGGGCGAGCAACCCTTCACACTCGCGCCGCAGCAGAAGCTCGACTCAAGCCCAGCACAGAACACCTTCCTGGCTGCAAGGCGCCTCTTCGCGTCACAGCGCATCAAGCCGAATCAACGCAACGGCTGCCGAGCGCTGGCGAAGCGCTCCCGACGCGCGCACTGCCCGAGACGCCGCCCACGCGCGGAGTCGACCCCGAGGTCGCGCTCACGCTGCGCCGGCAGCGCTCCGCGCGACCGTCGAAGCCCCGATGCTATCGCACCACGAACACGCTCACCATTCCTCAGCGCGCGCGTCTGTCCACGCGCGCGGCGAGCTTCACTCTCCCAAGCTCACCCGCAGGGTTCACAACTGCCTGAGTCACATCTCTCGAGGCACGAGCCTGCGGCCCGATGCGGCGCGCTAAGACGCCGTCGACCACGATGGCGGGCATCGCAGCGCGTCGCGAGCGACGCGCTGCACCCAACGGCCAAATGATCACAACCCACGGCAGTGCAGTTGCCCATCCGCCGCCTGGACAAAAATTGTCCGCTCGATTGTTACCAGCCTGGAACATATCCCTATCCCTAAGCTGGGCATCGCCTCATCACGATGCTAATCTTAGGGATCCCCCTAGTTTTTCAGGGCGTATCCCTAAGATTGTCATCGCCTTTGGGCGTGTCAATCTTCGGGATAGGGATAAGTTCGAGGCTGGTGAGATTGCCAGGGGGGGCAAAAGCCTGCCCTGAGAACCGAAAACGTTCGGCGCACTAAAGGGACCTTGGCATCCTCAGCTGCCCGCGGGAGAACCGATGGCCACCGCACCCTCCGGATGCCGATGGCGCCCCACCTGCTCGAACAGCTGATCCTCCTCCTCCTCCTCCTCCTCCTCCTCCTCCTCCTCCTCCTCCTCCTCCTCCTCCTCCTCCGCGAGGCAACCTCACGCGAGCGACGAAAAGAGACGGGTCTCACGCGAGATGGCCTAAGAGACCGTACTACCAGGGAGACCACAAAGGGACGTACGCGCCCAGCTGTGTGCATGGAAGCGGCCCCTCGATCCGCGAGACCGGCCGCACGATACGGATATTCGCGCAATGCGTACTCTCGAAACCAGCGTGGATGCATGTACGTGTACGTCCTTCCTTCGCTCCGGACTGAACGCGGTGGCTTACGCGGGCCGCCGGCGCGGCACGCCACATTGGAGACAAGGGCGCTCCCGCGCGACCTTACGCGGGCAGCTGACGCGCCAACGTCGGCGCAGACGACCCAGTTGTTTGGCGACGCAGGGGACGCAGAAGGACATACTGGTACTATGTGTCCTCCTCCGAGGCGTGCGCCCGACCCGAACATATATATATATATATATATATATATATATATATATATATATATCACAGACATCGTGCACTGTATCGCTTCCTGAGCGATACGGCCAGAAAGCGCCCACCACGGAGCTTCTACTATGAGATTTCTCGGTACGCGCGTCGCCCCAGGGGGGGCGACGCACATATGGTATGAACATGTCGGTGTGACGTGCGAATGTCGGTGTGAAACCGCGTGGATCGTTCAGCATGAAGCGATCGCGTCTTCCAGACAACGCCGGTCGCTCGATGCCTGCCAATTCTAGACCGACGCCGCGTCGGCAGTCTTCTGGAGAGCGAGTCCGCGCTGCATCATGCCCGCCGCCCGCCGGCACCCCGCAGACCGGCGGGTCCTGCACCCCCTCCCCAAGTGGTGCTGCGCGTCCCGCTCCCCGGCAGGGGGGGGCGGGAAGGGACGACGGAGGGGCGCAGAGACGGAATAGGTGGAGGGCTTCCGATAGGGGAGCAAAAAGTGGCAGAAACATAAAAACTCTGAGGTCCGCGCGGATTTCTCGGATCGGCGCTGTGGCCCCCCGGCGGCGCCTCCGGCGCCGATCCTGGCGCGCTCCGCGCGCCAGGGGGAGGGGTCCAGCGCGGATCCGAGAAATCCGCGCGGACCTCCGAGTTGTTATGTTTATGCCACTTTTGTTCCCCTATCCAAGCGGGGTCCGAACAGGTGGGGTCGGAAAGCCACGCCGCATGCATCGGTGACGTCGGCGATGCATCGGCGCCGCCGGCGCGGAGAACAATCGGGCTCCGAATCGAGCCGCAGTGCCGATGCATCGACGATGCGGCGCGATCTTCCCACCACATCTGCTCAGACCCCATGTTAGGAGGCAAATCCTGGGAGGGCTTCGCTGGAACGATTAAGCGCGACTAAACCAAATGAAAAGGCAACTTTGCCGACCTTCCACAAGAAACCCAACCCTGAGACCCCAGGACGTTCATTGATTTTTGGCCTGGGAACGTCACGCTTTCCATCGCAAAACCACCGAACCCAAAGAAACCTACGGCACCCTGGAGGCAAGCAGGGTGTTTCTTGGCATGGGCCTCCACTGTAGGCGGAATGAACCAAGATTCAGCCCGCGACTGACCGACCGCGAAAATACCAGCGCCGATACAAAAAGGAACCTCTCAGGAGCTGCATCCTAGCCCATGTGGGAGGCCTTTGAACTGGAGGGGGGGAGGGCCTCAGGACGCCCTGCTCGCCCACCGGCATGGACGAGAACGTGACCACCACGATCTTGCGGCCCTTCTCACGGGCGGCCCCGATGAACTGATCCACCTCGGAGTCCAGGCCGTCGGTCTCCTGCCTCGGCAAAATCGGGCAGCATCAAACCCGGAAGCCGGATCGTACAGAAATCAGCCGCGCCAAACCAGGCCGCCTCGCACTGAGCCGGAATCGCATCGGATCGGCCGCGCCAGGATGCACAACAACGCCACGCAATCATGCGGCCGCATCGGATCGCCGGAACATGTGGAATGGTCCTGGAAACTACGGAACGGAACGAAACGGAATCCGGCGCAAGGCTCCGCGAGGGAGCTGCGGGGAGGGCAAAGGCCTGCTCACGTGTTGATGAGATCGTCCTTCAGATGGTCCCACGCCTCTGACTTCGCAACCTTCGCCCAAATGCCGCAACCAACGCTAGTCAGCACAGATTGTCTGATATCACCCACCCACCGATTCTCGGAGCGCCCTGGGCGTCGCTGGACTGACATACGCAGGTCAAGGCGCGGAGCTCAAGTCTGTCGTGGGTGACACGTTTCAACCAGTCCAGCCAAGGCTCCACTCAAGAGTCTGCCTCGACGACGTCGGTGGTCGATTTGGTTGGCGTCGATACCAGAGTAGTGTTGTGGATGCCACGACAGTGGACACTCGAATAACCTAAAATGTTTATTAAGTGTTTAAAATGTGTACAACATGTTCTGAAAATGTGTCAAACCTGTGTTTTACATACTTAAGGCATGTTTGAAGCATCTGTTGAACCTATGGAAATGATTTGGCAGCATGCTTCCTCCCATGAATCCACTTCCACGAGAGTGGTGGCGCGCAGCGGTGTCGGAGGGCAGGCTGGGCGATAGTGGTCGTCTCGGCGCACGCATGATCGCACGGAACATCCAGCGAGGAATGTAGTCAATGTGTCGGGTATGTCTTGACTACGTAAGCGCCCAGCTCTCGTTTCCGCACAACAGAACACAGCACAGAGAGTTATGACTTGCCTGGCAACTACTGATGCAGCGGGTGGGTCTTCCAGGTAGCGGCGTCTCTGTTGTCGAGTTCGGCCATGCGCCTTCCTGAAGAAACTGCACCCCGTTCCCAACATACTGCGTGGAACGGCAAGGGGGGGGTACTGCAAGTCAAGTGCAAGGTCGCCCCATGCAAGTCAATCCGCGACACTTGTGTAGGACAGTCGTCTTTCAGGGATGCAGGTGCCAGATAGGTTGCAAAACGTCTTTGCTGAGGTCAGAGAGCATGATCGTTATGTGATCATACGACGGCGGTGTTACAAGTATGCCGTCGGCGAACCGTGACTTGGTCTCGATGGTGCCTGAAGAGCAAGTCGGTTGCCCATAGTTTGCCTGTCCCAACGGGATGTAAGCGCACGCACCAGATGTTCTGTAACGCTGTTGAAGAAGAGAGGACTGAGAAGTTCTCCCTGTTCAGCGCCTCGCTGTGTCGACAAGTGTACTTTTCTTGTCAGTGCGGACTGCTGGTGTTAGGCTTGGGTGCAGTTTTTCCCGGAGACGTAAGAATGGTAGCCAGACGCATTACGACACATTGCTCTGCAAATGCCTCCCAAATGCTCTCGTGTGTGACGCTGTCAAACGCATCTTTTAAGTCGACTGTCGCCTCCCACAAAAGGATGTGCTACTCGTCCGCCGTCTCCTGCAAGATACCTTGCGTGAAATGGTGGTCGGCAATGTTTCGTCCTGGGCCAAAGCCAGCTTGGTCCGCGCTCTGGTGTGAGTCGAAGAAGTTGCGTAGTCAGTTGACCATGGGTCGCGAGAACAACTTGCACAACAACGGAGCTTGGGCAATCGGTGTATTCTCCAGCGGTCGTGGGTCCCCATTTTTTGAACAGAACTGTGATGGTTGTGTGTGTGTGTGTCTGAGAATGCCGCGGGTAGAGAGCGCCTGGCTGTAAGATGGCGCTGAAGAGCGCCAACTGACTGGATCGCAGGCCTTGTTCTCTTCCATTAAGCATTTCGGCGCCGCTGCCGTCGGTGCCGGGTGCCTTGTTGTTCTTGGGCGGTCGGGTTGCTTCGCGTACTTCATTACTGGAGATATGGTGGGACAGGTTCGGCCTCGGGAGCTTCTCGGTCTGCGTGGGCGTGGCCATCCTTCGCGCCATCCCGATAGAGCTGGTTATAAAATTCGGCGAATACGTGAGCAATGGAGCGTCGGCTGCGCACTGGATTATCACTGCTGCCGCTCACGATAGCAATGCGGTCTCACGCACTGGCGTGTTCCACTGTGATATATTGGGGTAATCGATTGTCGATGTTTGCTCTGTGAGTTGCTCGTATGACGCATTGCCCGTAATGATCGTCGAACCCGTTTGGACATCTGAGCATGTGAGTTGGGATAATTGGCTGGTATATCCAATCATGTGATCAAAAGATTCGTGGCAACAGCGTTGTATGATGCCGTGGCTTACGTGTCCGCGAGTGGTTGGTGAGTCGCCAAAGGATCGATGAGAGCCTCTTCGATCGCTTGACATGTAAGTTGTACATATTGTGCGGTATGGGGTACATATACCTTGTCTGCCAACACCTGCTCGCAGCTGCGAACATCATTTGGTGGCCAAGAAACAACACATGTCTTCCGTCTTCGGCCAGTCAATCTCGGCAGCGTTCGTGTCGTATGTGTTCCCAGCATGTCGCTGCATATCACTGAAGCACATTGGTCAGGTCCCATGTCGATTGCGCGGGTGGTCAACCATCCGCGATTGTGCCGAAAACGTAGATTGCAGAACATGTTATCGATATGGATTGGGTGCTTGCTGGGGCACATGAACGTATGTCGCTGATGGGGTTGCTTCTCGTGCCCAACATAGGCTTGTTGGCCACCGACCAAAGGTTAAACCGCTGTCACCTGGGATTCTCCCTTGGTGTTCCCCACAGTGCGAGTCTTCACCTGTCGTCATTGTCGGTTCGCTCCCCGACCCCAGCGTTGCAGTCAGCGCACGATGCGAAATACATTCGGTCTTTGCTTGCCTTGTCACGGACACAACCCAACACATCGTATACATCCTGCGCATGCCCATCCCCCGTATACACTGTGTGGAAAGTAAGCTGTAGACATTCGCATGGTGCAACCCTTGCTGGCAATGTCGACCTGGGCGATGCGCTCGTTGATAGGTCTTGAACGTGAAACTTGGGATACCCGCCGCTTGCGCACAGTGATTACAGCACCCAGGTGTGGCTAGGCACATCCACCTCCTAGGAAGTCATGTCCGCAGGGCATTGTCCAGAATTTGTCGTCGACTTCCATCTTCGCTTCATAATGACATCCCAGCAAAGAATCTGCCCCATCAATTCCTCCACTCTGTCGTGGAAACGAGTATTGGAGTTCCGGGTTTCTGTTGCTGGGTTTTTCGGGGGAGTCAGGGGGGAGGTCCATCAAAAACCATCGAATCGCAATTCGGGACGCCACTCCGGATCCCCCCCAATGCACTGTGTTTCGGTGGTTTTCTCTTGATGATTCCTGAATCGTTTCGTTGGTTTCCTTGTTCTGTCGAGGGCTGCTCTGACCCCTCTCCCCCCAAGGCCCGGGCGGACTGACCCCCCCCCCAAAAAAAGCCCCACTCGAGAAAACCCAGGCTTCGGCGCGTGCTCTAAAACTTTCCAGAAGTCCTCAGGCCAGGATTTTTCATTGGTTTTCCGAAAACGTTCTGCGGCCACCCCAGGCTCCGGGGGGGGGGGGGGGGAAACCCTAGAAAAACCGTCGAGGGGGGTTTGGGGGCCCTCCGGCCACCCCAGGCTGGGGGGACATCCTTGAAAAACCCCACACTCTGAAGTTGATCTTGATTTGTTCCTGGGTTTTGCCGAACAAAAACAACCCGGGTTGTTGTCTCTGTTGTCTTCTGGAAGACCCCCCCCTCCCCCAAAACAACGCTCGGGGGTTGATCGACGGTTTTTTTTCTGAGTTTCTCCAGCCACCCCAGGCTCCCGAGGGGGACCCGTTGCTTTTTCCTCTGGTTTTCCGGAACGGTTTCTCAAAGGTTTCCCCCTCCGGAGCCTGGGGCTGCCGGCGAACCTTGAATAACTCTAGAAAAAAACACGTGGGAGCATGGGAGCACATAGGAGCGCCTGGAAGCGACTGGGGGCGCGGACGCAGGTGGTCACAGCCACTGGAGCCGTCGGTGGAGCTCCCTGTGGGGCTACAAAACGCTATACTGGACGGCGCGGACGCATGTGGTCACAGCCACTGGGGCTTTCAGTGGAGCTCCCTGTGGGGCTGCGAACGGCTACTCTCGTGCGCGGACGCATGTGGTCAGAGCAACCGGGGCCTTGGGTGGAGCCCCCTGATGGGGCCACAAAACGCTGTGTTCCTGTGCGCGCACGCGTGTGCTCACAGTCAGTGGGCCCTTCGGTGGAGCTCCGAATGGGGCCACGAAGCGCTGTATTCTCGTGCGCGGACGCATGCCACGGGAGCCTTCGGTGGAGCTCCCTATGGTCGGAGGTGGACAAACCTCCCTTTAGTAGACCTCCCTTTAGTGAAAACTGCTTGGGACCGAAACCGACGGACCTGGACCAGCAAAAATAACGGCCGCGACGCCCTCTCGCGAACCGAAAACGGCCAATTCACTAATCGACGTGTCAGGGTAGGAGGTCTATCCACCCCCGATATGGGGCCACGAAACGTTGCAGTCTCGTGCGCGGACGCATGTGGTCACAGACGCTGGAAGCTTCGGTGGCGCTCCCTATGGGACGTGGGCCCCTCTCGGGTCGACCTGGGGCCCTCTCTTGGGCCGTCTCGGTGGGCTGGGGCCGTCTTGGGGCCCTCCCGCGGCCCTCTTGGGGCCCTCTTGGGGACCTCCTGTGGACCTCTTGGGGCTACCTACCAGACCACCCCAACCCAACCCGAAGACCCGAATTTCGGGTTGGGGGGGATAAGGGTTCCACATGTGTTTTCTCGATGTTTCCCGAGCCCCCCCCCACTGGAAATCGAGGGTAAATCTGAGCCTTCGGGTTGGGTTGGGGTGGTTTGGTGGGTGGTGACTCTTGGGGCTCTCTTCGGAACCTTCTGGGGCCTTCAGGGGCCTCTCTTGGGCCATCACGGGGCTCCCTTGGGCCATCTTGGAGTCGTCTTGGGCCGCCTTTGGCCGCCTTGGGGCAGTGTTGGGGGCCTCCTGTGCCGTCTTGGGGCGATCATGGGGGGCCTCTTGGGCCGTCGTGGACGCTGTGAAGGCCAAAAACGCAGTTATGCTAAAAATGCAAATTCCCCCGATGGGAATGGGACGCACCTCTCATTGGTCGAGTCGCCTCCAACACGGCTAAGATGTCCCAAGACTGCCCAAGAAGCACCTAAGAGGCCTCCAAAACGGAACACGAGGCCTCCAAGAGGACCTACAGGAATGCCGCAGTGCCCGAAGAGGCCAAATCTGCGAATTGTTCCCCTAACTTTTGAAGATTTCAGGCGTGTGCCCTTTCGGCCTTCCAACGGCCGAAGACAGCCCAACAGAACCCCAAGCTCGCCCCAAGATCGCCGCAGAGGTCCCCAAATGGCCATATGACAACCCAAGAAGCCCCCAAGACGGCACCAAGAGGGCCCAAAGACGGCCCAAGAGGCCTCCCAGATGCTCAAGATGGCCTCCGAGACGGCCAAGATGCCCCAGAGTCAAAGATGGCCGCAAGACGTCTCCAAACCGATCCGAGATGCACCTAAGACTGCCTGAAATAGCCTTAATATCGCCCAGGACGGCCCAAGGAGCCCCCAGAGGCCTCGAAGACTGCCCAAGAGGCATCCAAGAGGACGTACGGGAAGGCCCCAAAGAGTCAAAATCGTGTATGTTCCAAAGTGTTTGAACGTTGTTGGCGTTTGCTGATGTTCGGCCTTCCGACGGCCCAAAACGGCCCCACAGGCGCCCAAGAGACCTCCAAGATGGCCCCACGACGGCCCAAGGGCCCCCGAAGACCGACCGAAGAAAACCTCAAGACGGTCCAAGAGGGCCCCAGGATCGCCCCAAGAGCGCCCAGGAGACCTCCAAGATGGCCACATGACGGTCCACGAAGCCCATCATACGGCCCGAAGAGGGCCCCAAGACGGCCCAAGAGGCCTCCGAGACGCCCAATATTGCATCCGAAACAGCCCCGAAGCATCCTAAGAGAGCCCCAAATCCATTCAGAAAGTCCCCCCAAGACGGCTCCCGACTGCGTCCGACGAGCCAGGATCGCCCTCAGACAGCCAACGAGACCCCGAAGAAGCCCCCAAGGGCCCCTAAGCGGCCCGAGGAAGCACCCAAGAGGCCTCCAAGAGGCCCCCAGGAAACTCCCAGGAGGCCCCAAGAATGACGCTGGAGGCTCCCGAGGGATCTCCTCGTCCATTCCTTCTCCTTATGGATAACTCCTCCCTGTCACACCCCGAAGCCAGTTTTTAGGGCGGGCCGGGCGTTTCGCCTGAGACTTGCTGATCATGTATGACCCTGAAGCTTAAAGAGCAACAACTGCTTCACACATGGAGGGCGGGCCGATCTCAAAGTGTGGCTCTCGCATTATTGCCGCGCACGTTCGTTTTGACAATTTGCAAGAGCTTCACGGATTGAGGGCGGGAGGCTTTCGAAACTGCCATGCACATTCGTTCTTAAACAATTCGCAAGAGTCACGGATTCAGGGCGGGTGGTTCTCAAAATGTGGCTCTCACGTCAGCGCCGCGCACACTCGTTCGAAGACTGCGCAAGAGCTTCACGAATTCAGGGCGGGTGGTTTCCAGAAGGTGGCTCTCGCAGTAGCGCCGCGCACATTCGTTGTAAGACATGGCAGGAGCTTCACGGACTGAGGGCGGCTCCTTCTCAAAGTGTGGCTCTCGCCTTAGCGCCGCGCACATTCGTTTAAACCATTTGCAAGACATGGCGTTCTGGAAGGGTTCAGCATTATGCGGGCGCAACAATTATGTTGATTCGCTGTGTTGGAGTGCCAAGTGTGGTGTTCTGGCACGGTTCTGGATCGTCAAGACGCAGCAGTCCGGTTGATACGTGGCGTTGAAGTCCCGAGAACCATGTTTTGGCACGCTACAGGATCTTCAAACGGTTGTCTTCCAACGAGGCAGTTCCCCCAATGGAAATGAAACGTTGTAAGGGCCTGTGAAGAGGGAGCTTGGAGGGAGGGTTACTTCCAACATCGTTGATGACTCTTGGGCTTCCACTGGTCCTCCTCTTCCTCCTACAACTCCCCCTCCTTCTCCTCCACCGTGTCCCTCCCCTCCCCACGTGTTTCCCGAAGGGTTTCCACAACTGCTGGGGGAACACATGGTCCAATAGCTTGGCCAAACGTTTGGCCACATAAGCGTATTCTTGAAGGCAGGGGGCGGCGGTGATTCGATGTAGACGTCTTCTATAATTCATCAACGTCGTGTCGTGGTCCCAACACCGACACCTCCATGCCTTCAATATTGTCCTGCATCTCTGTTACCTTACTCTTCACCTCCTTCACCTCCTCCGTCGTTATCTCAATCCTTCTCTCAATGCACTGAGCTGGTCGAACCGGTTATTCTGTCTGTTTTCGCACTCATGGAAGCAGGGTAGAGCTGAAATCATCATCGCCTTCTCCATATCATTCTCTGTCTCCTCCTCCTCCACCTCCTCCTCCTCTCCGCTGGAAGCCGCTTCGAGAATCTCTTGTAAATTGGCTTTCGCCCTGCGCGGGGCGGGCATGGAGTCCGCTGCGTCACCGTGACGCTCAGATGCCATCGGAGCCCAGACATCCGTGCGGCACGAGCGAAGAGGGAGCAGAGTAAGGGGCAGCTGGTGTGAGGAACGTTCGAGCACCTCTTGCCTTGCCCTGGGCCATGAGCCAACCCTGAGCCTTGAGGCACATTATATATACATATATATTATTTGTTTTTTAAACAAAAAAAGAAGAGGAAAAAGAAAGAAAAAAAAAAAAGCTCTCAGACGTCCGTGCGACTTGTCTCAGCTCGGCGCCGGATCCCCCGCCCCCTCTCCTGGCGCGTGGCGCGCTCCAATGGGCAGCGTCGGAGGCGTCGCCGGGGGGGGCCCACGCCGCTCCAAGAAAGCCACGCGGACCTCCGAGAGTTGATGTCTACAGTCGAGGCGTTGACCTGAAGGAGCCCTAAATAGGACACGAGGCCCCTTTTTTTCATAAGTTGACCTTCGACTTCCCATCGAAAACCTAAGGAACACCTCAGGCAAAATGTGGAACAGTTAACTAAGGCACACCGAGCCCCTCCCCAGCGAAAAGGGTTCCTTCTTCAGCGCCCCGACTGTACGTCTTATGTGATTGTCTCATCTTCGGCCGCCAGAACATATCGGAATCGAATCGGATCGGGCTGGTCAAAACCGACACTGGTCACTGCGCCGGCCTCGCAGACGTGCTGCAGCGGATTTGTGCGCGGATTTCTGTCAATACGAAACCCAGAAACGGGGCGCGAAAAACTAAGTGAATTTCACGTGGATGGTTTGCAGTCTTCATTCCTAGCCAAAACAATCCCCGCGAAACTCACGTCGAAATCCGGAACGAAACTCTCCAGGACAATCCGGGCCCATCCAATTTTTTTCCAAACGAAATCCGCTCTGCGATGTTAGCGCCGAAAGTTTTCTGATTCGGCGTTTCGACATTGGGCGGGAGTGGGGGGAGGGGGGGGGGTCTGGCTCTGGACCTCTGCTGAATGCGACTGTTTGCAACCGTGCGTCCTCTGGGGGAGGCTCCACCTGCTGGAAACAGGCGCCAAAAACGGCCCTTGTCTACTCCATTTTGGGGAGGGGGAGGGTGTGCGAGGGCCCGCGCCGGGGGGCAGAACAGTGACAAAGAAAACGAACACCATCGGGCTCGCATCGGATCGGGCTGGTCAAAACCGATACCGGAGCAGGATCGCGGAGCAGGATCTGATGGGCCTGTTTTCCACCATCACCACCACCACCATAAGTTGGAAGGGGGTTAGGGGGTGGAGGATGAGGAGGAGGAAGAGGAGGAGGGGGAGGAGGACCCCTTCCCCCTCCCACTCATGGTGGTGGCGGTGGAAAATAAGCCCACCAGGATCCCACGGTGGCGGTGGAAAACAAGCCAAACTGACATAATTACGCAGAGGGCATCTATACGCCACCACCGTGCCAAGCCAGGCCCATCCTGGCCCTGGCATGCTGCGTACGCCCTCCTGGCCGAGGCCAGGAGGATCTGTACACCATCCTGGGGCCCAGGATGGCCCTGGCCTGGCACGGTGGTGGTGTATAGACGCCTCCGTCGGATGACACCGGAGCAGGACTGCACCGAGGCGGGCCCCGCCTCAGGAAGACGAAGTCCGTGAGCGTCAGCCCCGCCATCTCCCGGGCGTGGGCCTGGCCGCCGAGCACTGCGGGGCACACGGGGACGATGCGCGGGATCTGCTGGTGCCGCAGCTCGCGGTCCTCTGCCGGGGGGCAGGAGCTGCAGCGGGCGCAGGCGATGCAGCCGCGGCCCGTGCCATGAGGATGCGCGATGTGGTGGGCTCGTTGTCCACCGCCACCACCATAGGCAGGAGGGGAGGAGGAGGTCCTCCTCCTCTTCTTCTTCCTCGTCCTCACTCTCCACCCTCCCTCCCCCTCCAAACTTATGGTGGCGGTGGTTCTTCGTTGATCCCTGGACTTTCAAGGTGCCCCAGGGCCTGTGGGGGCCCCGCGGGGCCACCGCGGGGCGAGCAACACTTCCGCGGGGCATCTGCCGGCACCTTCTGGCGCACCTGCTGCGGGTTTCGCGACCGATAGGGATGCTTTTTGATTGCTCGGCAGCCCCTCGGGGGGCGGCCGAGCTCCCTCCAAAGCTCCGGGCGGAACCCAGCCCGGGAGAGATCCGAGGCTCGATGTCCGAGGGCGGGGCCCGCAGGGCTCTGCGTGTGCGGCTTCCGCCCCCGCAACTGAGTGGTGGGCTTGCTCTCCACCGCCACCACCACCAGAAGGAGGGGGAGGTCCTCCTCCTCCTCCTCCTTCTCCTCCTCTTCGCCGTCCTCCTCCTCCTCTTCGTCGTCCTCCTCCTCCTCCTCATCCTTCACCTCCTTCCCCCCTCCAACTTATGGTGTGGTGGTCGACTGAGGGCCGCTGTGGCGCGCACGCTCACTCGCACCCCACGGCGTCGTGGTGGGCGGTGTGCCGAGGTTGCGTTGTGTGTGTGTGTGGGGGGGGGGCGGCGTGCGCGGGTTCGGAGAGGCGTCCACGCGTTGGGCGGGCAACTTCTGGGAGGCCTTCGTCGGACCGACCACAGGCTATGAAGACCGCTTCACGGACCATTACGGCAGGTTCGTATCGTGTCGACCACCCCAGCCAGCGTTGGTTCACGACACCGCGGGGATCGTTCAAACTTGAACGATCGCCTGTTCCGTGAACGCCGGATCGTTCAACGATGGGCCGACTCTGGGCCACGGGCGGCATTCAACCTTAAACGCACGCGCTGGGGTCGCCGCCTGTCGGCACGACGCGAACCTGCCGTAAACCAGTCTCGGCCGGACTAAGCCCAGGATCTGGCTGAATTCAACGGGATGAAGCAGGACTAAGCTGGATTTGCTGGGGTGCCCGGGACTCAGCAACAGGATGCTGGTTGTCGAACGGAGATGTACCAAAACCATATCTGAAACTCACCTCCCAGGAATTGCATCCGACACGTGTTCGAGCTCATACCGAACATCAAACCCCAAAGCAGAACTATAAGAATGATGCGAGTAATAATAATAAGAATAGTAGTAATAGTAATAAAAATACTGGCGATAATAATAACGGTTAAGCAACTAATAGATACCAGACAAGTAAAACATAACAAAACAACAATAACAACAACCACAACAACAGCAACCACAACAACAGCAGCAGCAGCAACACACACCACAACGACAACAACAACAACAAGTACAACAACGACAACAGCAACAAGCACAACAACTACAACAACAACAACAACAACAACAGCAACACCAACAACAACAACAACAACAACAACAACAACAACAACAGCAACAACAACAACAGCAGCAGCAGCAGCAACAACAACAACAACAGTAACAACAACAGCAGCAGCAGCAACAACAACAACAGTAACAACAACAACAACAACCACAACACCAACAACTACAAAAAAACAACAACAACCACAACACCAACAACACCACCACCAACAACAACAACGACAACAACAGCAGCAGCAACAACAACAACAACCACAACAACGGTATGGGCACTAGCAATTCCAATAACAATAATTATGATGAGGCTAAGGCGGCTCGGAAGGGACCGCCCCCCACCCACACACGCCTGTGAGGGGCAGAAGCAGGGGCAGAGGCAGGCACCCACGAGAGGGCAGCGACTAGCGCAAGCAGGCCAGCTCCCATCTTGCACAGCAGGCCCTGCAGCCCGCAGGGAGCCGACGAGAGCTCGCGAGAAGCCCGGGTAAGGTGCGGAAGAGGCATGCGAGCGTGTTTCCCTATGTGGTGGCGCTTCGCCAGAAGACTCAAAGGGCTTACTTTTTGTAGAGCGGGCGGGGGACAAACAAAAACAGCAGAACAAAAAACACCGAGAGTCCCACGAGAGGGGGACGGGGAGCCCTAACACCGCTGGGCACGGCAGCCGTTTCGCCTGAGCCTTCCCCACAGTGTGCTCAGGAATCGTGCTCAGCTGGCGGCCTGAGTCCCAGTTTCCGTCGGCACGGGCGAAAAGTCTCGCCCATTCGGACGACGCCCCTCCTGCAAGAGGGCTCGGTCAATCGGGCAACGCGAAGCCGTCGTCGGCAGCGAACAGCGACGGCAGGGCGCCGATCAAGGGAGCGCGTGCGCTGGCAGGCTGCACGGGTCCACATGAAGACTCTTCTCGTTGCTGGGTCGTGCAAACTGTTCCTCCGGTGACTTCTGAGACCCTCTTGTCTGTGGCTGCTACTAGGGAAACAAAAAGTGGCTTAAACATAAAAACTCGGAGGTCCGCGCGGACTCCGCGCGGACCTCCGAGTTTTTATGTTTATGCCACTTCTTGTTCCCCTGGCTACACCGCGTCGTCGAGCCATGCCAACCTTTGCTCGGCACTGCCCCCTGCCTCCCGGGCCACTGGGGGGGGGAGGGGCGGGGGCGCCCTGGGCGCAGGGGGCGCGCAGGGGGTGGCCGGGGGTCGGCCGCGAGGGGCGTCCAGCGGCCAATGTGAACGCGCAGGCTCACAGACCCGGCAGCACGACGGGAGGCCTCATCGCGAGGTCATTGCCTGCGGGGCAGCGATAGGGGGATAGGGGGGGAGGATACAGAGCAGGTTGTAAGACATAGGATTAAAAAATGTAACCAACAAAAAAAAACATCGGATGCTTAATACATGACCCATCTATGAATACATCTATATGCATGCACTCATCGTTGTTTTTGATACTAGATCCCTGCATGTGTTATACATGCTCCGCACGCGGAGCATGTATTAAAAACGGCACTGTAAGCATAGGAAGAAAACATCGACCTCGACCCGGAATCGGCGATACATCGCCGATGGATCGGCGACAGGCCCCCGATCGTGAGTCCGCACGTTCCTGGGCAGGTTGGGGCCATCGGGCCCCATATCGGCGATCCATGGGCGATTTGGGCTCGATGCATCCCCCCCCTATGTCTATCCCCCCGTATCCTTACCCCTGATTGTCAGCCTTGCCGCTCTATCCGCCAGCTCTCCAAATCAATGCCGGTACCCAAACCAATCTGGGACGCCACCCCGTCTGGCTTCCCGAGCTCCGCCCGGTTATGGCCGCGAGGGCACCCCCTTCGGGAAGCCTGCGAAAGGGCTGGGGAGAGTGCAGGCGGTCATCCTCGCCCTCCGCCCTGTGAGCACATATGTGACTGGGTGGCTCCACTGTGTCACACACTCGCGCAAACTTTGACCCAACCGAGAGAAAAGTAAATACATACTGTAACTCTGCAAGCCGTATATACACTAATGGAAAATAAGAATATGTGTACACGTGTAGGTATGCAGCACAAAACAAACAACATCATCAACAACATAAAGCAACACTAGCTCCTTAAGGCCTTTAATGCTGCTTCCCCCGGCCCCCCCGATCTCTCGGCAGGCAATACAACTCGTCACTCCTCTTCCTCCTCCTCCGCCTCCTCCTCCTC